ATTACTTTTTTTTTATCACTACATGCCAACACACTGGATGTATGTGAAATAGCACTACTAAAAACAATGGCAAACCTCTGCATATGAATGAATGTGGGTAAAACTAGCCCTTCCATAAGTGTAAAGGGGCCCTATAAGATATAAGAAGCTGTCAAGTGATTCAACTGGGGGCATATTCACAAAAAAGTAAAATATTAGTTGGGAAGGTGTTGGCATTTAAAGTTACTCATTTTGAAATCTGCCATGGAAGGGTTGTAAACTAGATGGGCTAGATGAATAAATTTTAGATGATTAGTAAAATGATCTTGGCTGAGTCAGTAATGTTTGCTAAGCAACTGACATTCAGATGTCATACCCATTAATAATTAATAAATAGCACCATGTGTTTAGACGAAAAATTTCAACCAGACTATACACACCATCAATAAAATAGTTTAACAGAAGATGCTATTAAAAAAAAGTACCAAGCAAACTGCTAAGCAGTAGCTTTAGTATTATTTATTTATTAATTCATCATTTATAGGATAAAGGAAAACTGTCAAGGGAGAAATACTAGGTCTTCTTCTAAAAATGCTAGCTACTTGGCTACCATTCTCATCTTCTAGCTCTGATGCTCCCAAAGTCATTGACTTGGAAGTATGCATTTCCCATGGTTAGCAGTAGTAGCCCCTATGAGAGATGTTGGTTTCATTGCGTTTAGGCAGGGTCCTCCTCACCTACTGTTTCTTTATGTCAATGATGCTTGTCAGTGTTTCATACTTGTCTTGTCTAAACGATTGTACAGCGCTGCTGAATATGTTGGCGCTTTATAAATAAGTTATTCAGAGTCACTGACCTGGAACAAGTATACGGATAAGGCATTCCAACTTTTCTCTGACTTTGTTTGAAGTGACACGAAACTCAGGAGTTACATTTTTAAAATGCATTCAAGTACCTTAACTATTAACAAAAATGCAGGTTATTTGTGTATCACTCGGCTGTAGATCCTCAAATCATCTCTGAATTTGTGCTGACACTGTCCTTCCTTCTGGAGGGTGGCTACCTTTGTTCCCCACGGCCCCTGTGTGTGTTGTGAAGTAGCCACTTCTCCAAGCTCACACCCATAATTGTCAGACATCCCAGGGACGGCCACCAAAACGGACGTAGGATGCATTCCGTGGTGTTGCGCCTACCTCGGTGGCCCGCTGTGGGGTGGTCATGGTGATGCTGTAGTACAGGCAGTCGCTGGGGGACTGGGACATAGATCCACTGTTGGTGGTAACGAAGCCCCTGCTTTATCAGCAGATGGGCTGCCTCCTGCTGGGTCGAGGCAGGCAGCGAAGGTTCAAAGGCGGAAGACAGTCCAAGGGTCGATAATCGGGAAGGATACAAAGGGGCAACAGGCAATAGGAGGATCAGCAGGGAGGCTAGGTGTTCACCATAAGGTGGAATAACTCAGCAATAAGCCAGAGCTCAGGCCAGGTTTTTATAGCCAGGGGCGGTAGGGCCACCCCCTGGTCACCGAGGCAACCAGGAGGCCTCCCTACCCAGGAACCAATGGCAGGCGAGGAAGATGGAAGGTGTGTACTGGGAACCTCCCCCAGCAAGACTCACACCTGATAGCCAGATGATGCAGGAACGCTATGCTCCCGGGGATGCGCACGCAGCCTGTGTACTGCGCATGCGCCCATGCCGCGTGACTTGCGCATGCGCACCTGCACCTCGGGCACCAGGTGTTCTACCGGGCTGAAGGGGAACCCGTGCCCTTCGCCGTGCCCGTGGTCCCCTAGTAGAGGTAACACCCTCTGCTTCCTGACAATAATGGACCACAATCGCATGTTTAGTTTACCAAATTGTATTGAGATTGTAGTCCGTCACTGGACCACAATCGCATGTTTAGTTTACCAAATTGTATTGAGATTGTAGTCCGTCACTGGAGCGAGCTTGGATCAATTTCTTTACAACACACACAGAGACCATGGGGAACAAAAGTAGCCACCCTCCAGAAGGAAGGGCAGTGTCAGCATGAATTCAGAGATGATTTGAGGATCTACAGCTGATGGTGGTATTCCATACTTTATAAGAATAAAAGAAAAGGGTCACAGTAAGGATTGCTTCCTAATTTGTGCATAATTCATCATTTGCATGCAAATGTATGTATAAAAGTGCAATAACATGTGCTAACTTTCCATTAATTTCAAGTAAATACTGGCTTTAAAGGAGATCTATGAGATGAGTGATTTCCACTCATCCTCATAGTTAGAGCCGGCCTGTGAAAAAGAAGCTGTCACAGGTCGGCTCTATCGATCGGAAGCATGCATTGATCTGCTCACTTCTCGATCGCCTCCCCGCAGGGATTCCCCCCTCCCCTCTCCGATCCTCCAGCGTTGAGTGCCGGAACGAACAAGGGAGGGGGCGGGCACTGTTGGCTCTGCCTCTAGATATGCAGAGCCAGCTGTCACTCACGCAGCTGGGTGGATCTTGACAGTAATGTCGGGATCAGTCCTGGCTGCAGAGCTCTCAGTATATCGCGGGCAATAGCCCGCAATATACTGAGCTTTGGGTAACAGGAGGATGCTAGAATATGTCCTCCCGTGACCCTAAAGAGAACTAAGGGGAAAACAACTTACCCCATTGTTCACTTTTAAGTGCAACTGTGCTTTGTTAATGCAGAGCAAAGAAACAGGTCCACTGTAATGCAGACCTTCCCAGTTATATACACTTGCCTTCTTTTCACTCCCTTGCTGCTCCATTCACCCACTAGGAGTATGTAATAGCTCACATTGGGCTAGGGACTTCCCTAATACAGCACTGATTGGCCCATGGAGCAGCAGGAAGTCAAGTAAAGGTAAGTATATACTGCTGGAGGTGGGAAGGATTAAAGTAAATATGAATAAGCAAAGCACAGGTTTGTTTTAAAATGAATAGTAAGAAGCAAAGCAAATAGTATTTTTACAGGATCAGCACTTAGGTGGTCAATATTTGTTTTTTGAAATAAATGAAACCTTCCCAAGGAATCCAGTCAAGTAGGTTGATATTACCATGATAAAAGCAAAGTAAGCACCTTCTGTCAAACAAGGACTTGGATTTGACATTTTCTCCTAGTTTAGTAAATGAGGTGTAGCTCTGCTGACTTCCATCACCCAATCACGTTCACTCTAAAATACAGGTTTTTTTTTAAATTTAGTATCATTTTCATAGTGAAACTTGAACACATTCACCAAGCTAAGGGAACTTCCCGTAGAAAGTGCAAATTCCCTGCAGAGTGAACAGCCTATTTGTCGTTGGTAAATCAACCCCATAGCTTTGCGTATATGGTCTCAGAATTCATCACTTCACAGGGTTCCTTGTATTCTTAGAATTACTACCTGTCTGCACAAATCTCTCACATTCCAGTATGAGGCTGGACCCCAGAAGTGTGTTGGATGCTGAAGATTTGTCAGCAACCATAGCTCTTCAAGACAGCAAAGATCCGCAGCTTGGGCATTGGGAGAGGTAAGTATATACTCTTATTTGCAGTGAGACTGTTTTCTTTATATTTTTAATACAATGACAAAGTTGCTTTAATCCAAACAACGAGGTTGTCTATGTGGGTATAAATGCATGGGTATGTTCTCAACACTCACTTGAATTGAGAAAGACACATGGATAAGAGGTGAAATGTTTTCAGCATTACTTAACAGTTCTATGAATTGAGCATGATTCAAGACTTAACTACTAAAAGGAGAACTATGGGGTCAGTGAAAAACACTCATTACCATAATTCAAGCCAACCTGTGACACTGGAGCTGTCACAGGTTGGCTCTATTTTTCGGGAAGTCAGGGAACACATACTGCTGATTGCTGACTTCCTGATCCTTTCCCTGCACAGAGCGGTGACTGACAGGGATTCCCTCTTCCCCTCTCCATTTCACCAGCACTGACTGGAGGGACAAATGAGCAAGGGGGCGGGTACAGCTGGCTGCTTCTAGTGAGGCAGAGCCAGCGGTCAATCAGCCAGCGGGGTGGATCTCGACAGTATTGTAGGGATCCATTCCCGGCTGTGGCGTGGCTCTTCGCACTCAGTATATAGCGGGCGATAACCCGCTGTATACTGAGTTTTGGGTCACTGGAGGACATTAGTATATGCCCTCATGTGACCCTGAAGAGAACTATGGCCAAAAAAGGTGGCCCCATAGTTCTCTTTTAAGCATTTTTTTTTTATCATGTGTGACAGATTCCATTTCTGATGTGCTACGTTTGGCATGCCTCTTTATCGGGCATTAAACAACAATTGAACTTCAAAAAAAAGAATCCCTTTGTATTCAAATACACCAAATAACAGTTTCCTGAAACACACAAGCATTAAACAATGTGTGCTGGCTTTATGGAGACCCATTTGAACCTCAGAAGCATATTGGACTGCTTCACTACATACCACCTGTATTGCCTGATGATGGTATTTTTATGTAACCAGTAAACAATTATGCTCTTAATGTATAAATTAAGGTCTCACATAAAAAGAAGAAAAACATATTCATATATGTGGATTATTTCCCATGTTAATTTAACAAAAAACTGCACTCATTATAATTTAACTTTCTTTCTTCACTCTTTTTTTGAAGAGTGCCCTGTCTAACCTCCTTCTGTGTATCTATTATAGATATATGTTTCATGAGCTGGTCTGTGCATCTAGATTTCACTTCAAATGTATGTGGGCACATTCATGAGGATAAAGACTCCTATGCCCTCCCTTGGGTATGCATCCACACTGCCTTTACTGCAACATGGCTTTTAACAGACAGAGATAAACCTGGTTCCCAGCTGGTGGCCAATGTTACTGCAGAGCTGTCAATGAAGCAGTGTTTTTTAAATAATTTACCTGTCTGTGCACCTAGCCTTATGTAGTAATATGTCCTTCATTACAACTTTCAGCTGACATATTTAAACTTATTTTTTTTTTTTACCTTGTTTTTCTTTGTTTTCATAGTTTGATCCACCCCTTCTACTCCATTCTCAACTAGGGGAGAATCACATCTTCTTCACTCCTGCAGTCTCCTGGGATATGCATGTCTCATATACCAGGAGACTTCAGGTTCCACACAGTAGATGGAGGAAGATGGAATGGGCAGCACAACAAAAGTTGTGCAACTAAACTTCTGTTTTCAACACAAATCGTATGACAGAGCAAATTGTTTTTTGCAGACTAGCAGGTAAATGTGCTGGGATAAAGTTGTGTTTGTACTGTGGAAAGCCCTTCCATGTGCACCTTAATTCAAAGATATTTATAAATTGATTTGTGTGGTTGCCATTTTTGTTTTGCTGGATTTGGTGTGGGGGCAGGCTAGATTTGGTATGGGGACACACTTGGAGTCATCAGCTGCCATTGTGATGTGCTGGGCTTCTGGTGTTTCACTGTGCCTAAGAGACACACCAGGAGAGTTGGGCTACCTTCAGACATACCTGCACTCAAAGTATCCATTGCTATGTACAGTATTCTCCAAGATGTAGGCTCTCAAAGATTAGAATTAGGACCACACTACATGGCTGAGCCTTGACGAGGCAGTGTGGCTTCCACATTTTGTGCAACTAAAACCTCTACATTTTTTTTTGCTGGCAAGTGAGTGGGGAAATGTTTGTGTTTTTAATGCCAACTGCAATCTGGCACACTAGTTCAATAGTCCTGCTTCCCTCTCCAGGCCTCTAGAGGAAAGTCAAACAGCAGTCTTCAGGGATTTGGAGTCTTCCATCTGGAACCACTCACCCTATACCCAGCAGAACTCCCCTCTCTTGCAGGAAAACCCAAGATCACTAGGAGGCCCCTGCCATCTGGCCTGGAAGTTTTTGCTCTTAGTATCCTGATGGTTTCAGTCAAGTGGGCAGGAAATATTGATAATGCATTGTGCATGTCACTGACATTTTATACCGAATTTAGTTATTTTGGTAACTGTCCACTTTTCGTGAATGTTCCACAACTCCCAGGTGTGCTGTATTGAGATCAGATGGGGCCCAGGGAAATAATTGTTACAATCAAAAAATGCAACCAGATGAAGCCAGTACAGAGTGGAAGAGTGCTGTTCAGTGTGCTCATACTTGACCCCAGGTAAGTAGTATTTGGTAATTCAATTATAGACAGTATATTCAATTTCTAGGAGGATGATGTAGACACCTCAGTCTCTTTGATAATGCCCCTAGTTGGGTCACAGAAAAAGACATAGTGGACTTGATATCTTTGTGATTATTAGGACACCAGATATAGAGCTCTCATCTTTTCTAGAAATAAGTGATCTACCCATGGTTAACCATGGTATAGTGAATGGCTTACTTGAAACATGTCATGTCCACCTCGTGGAGGTTCCCAAGACAAGTAAATAGTGCTCTCCTCTTGTCCAAGAATCTGCAGAGCGGAAGGAGGTTCAGGGGCTACAAAACAAATGTTATTTTTATAAAGCATTAGTACAAAGTCTGGATTATGTCATGCTGATGACAATTAGCCTGTATCTTTACCTGTGACAAGACATAAAACAGCTGGGGGGCTTTTCTTTGATCCAAAGGTTGAGAAAATACTGATGTGGTAGTCAACTCCTGGCAAGAGATGGTTAAAAGTATGCCACCTACAAGTGCAAATATATTTGTAGCTGATTGCAAAAACAATGAAGCATTTTGATTCACAATTGTTTCATTAAATTAATCTTTCTTTCTCTCTTCTTTCTTACTTACTTTCCATGGTTGTCCATGGGGAAGCGAGTGACAGAGCATCAAACAAAAAGTGGACGGACGACCGAAATCAAGGCAGAATAATAACAATAAAAATAGTGGGGAACAACAAGGTAGTAAACTTTTGTCCCACAAAAAGAGAGGAATTAAATGTATGTACACCAACGCTAGAAGTCTGGCAAATAAAATAGAGGAGCTTGAAATTAGGTTAATTGAAGAGGACTTCGACATAGTGGGTATAGCGGAAACCTGGCTGGACAGCACGCATGACTGGGCTACTAATATAGAGGGGTATAACCTGTTTAAACTGTTCTAGGATCAGCCATTTATCTCAATTATGTCTCCCTTCGGAGCACCTCAGCAAAATGTAGTGCTGAGGTGCTTTTCTATACAGCACTACAGCAAATGTAGTGCTGTATAGAAAAACAATTATAATGATCTATTTCTAATGTAGCTTCCCTATACTCCATATTGAAGCACTACAGCTCCACTTAATATTTTCATAAAGCACAAACCATACACCTTTAATATTATTTCAAACATACATCAGGGCAGATTATGTTGAAAAGTTATCTGTGCACAGAACAATGTGCCTACTGCCAGGGATTTTCAGATACCAGGTCAGATACCAATGCTTATACTTGCCATTTTCACGAGAATTACCAGGGTCGCAGTGGTTACAGCTGGGATCTGGCGCTCCACCAACGTCCTGAAATTATTAGTCTGTCTTGTTTTAGAAAAACTGTCACATAACACTAAACACAAATGTATCAGTAATTGGTATCAGTGAGTTCTTGGATCTCAGGAGTAGTGATGGGACCCATCACCCTCGTGTTCGGTTCGTATTCGAGCACCCGAACGGCCGAAAAGTTTGAATACGAACTCGTACCTAATGCAAGTCAATGGGGGTCGAACTTTTGAAAGTGATTGTCCCCTTTAAGAGTGCTTATATGCAAGTTATTGGCCATAAAAGGTGTATGGGGGTCCGGGTACTGCTCTGGGGGACAGTAATCAATGAAAAAACAAACAAAACAAAAAAAGTTTTTAATGGAGCAGTGATTTTAACATCACTTAAAGGGTAAGAATAAAAATGAAAAATTCCTTCAAATATCGTGCCTGGGAGGCCCCCTTAACCTGCCTGTGAAGTGGCGGATCTGTAGGATGTATAGAACCTGCTGCAGCAAAACTGATATTTCTAAAAAATAAAAAAATGAAATTTTTCTTTTTTTTTTTACTCTTAAAGTGTGCAGTTCCCCTCCCCAAACAATACCAGACCCTTTAGGTAGGAATGTTAGGAAGCACCATTTTTAAAACAAAAAAAGTGTAGGGTTCCTCCTAAAAGTCATACCAGACCCTAAAGGTCTTATAAGAATATTTAGGAGGGACCCTGTGTAAAAAAAAAAAGTGTGCAGGGTTCCCCCTCAAAGTCATACCAGGCCCTTAAGGTCTGGTAAGAATAGTGAGGAAGGACCCCTGTAAAAAAAAAAAAAAGTGTGTGGGGTTCACACCTTAAAGTCATACCAGGCCCTTAAGGTCTGGTAGGAATTTTAAGGAGGAACCCCCTCCCCAAAAATGGGAGGAAAAAAACATGGGGTCCCCCCTAAATTTCCATACCAGACCCTTGATCCGAGCATAGGCCTGGCAGGGCCGGAAAGGGGGGGGATGGGCGAGCACCCCCCTCCATCCCAAACCAAGCCACATGCCCTCAGCACTGGGAGGGTGTCCCCATGCCGATGTGGACAAGGACCTCATCCCCACAACCCTGACCCGGGGGTTGTGGGGGTCTGCGGACAAGGGGGTTTACTTGCATCGGGGTACCCCTTTAATTAAGGGGGTATCCCTTTAATTAAGGGGGCACCCAGATGCCACCCCCTCCCTTGTGAATGAGTAAGGGGTACTTGTAAGGGTAAGGGTTAAATCAAATAGTTATTAAAAAGTCCACACTTTTGATAAAATCCTTTAAAGGAGAACTATGGGGTCAGTGTTTTTCCCCATAGTTCTCCTTAGGGTAACGGGAGGACACAAACTAGCATCCTCCCGTTACCCTAAGCTCAGTATACCGCGAGCTACAGCTCGCGCTATACTGAGACGCTGCAGCCGGAGCGGATCCCAATCTGGACGTCGGGATCCGCCCAGCTGCATGAGTGACAGCTATCTAGAGGCAGAGCCAGCTGTACCCGCCCCCTCCCCCGTCCGTTCTGCCAGTCAGCGCTGGCAGATTGGAGCGGGGAGAGGGGAATCCAGCCCCTCCCCCTGTCACGGCAGAGAGCCGTGACGGGATCGAGAGGTGAGAGAACTCGGTATGTGTTCGCTCACCTCATGATCTACTGAGCCAACCTGTGACAGTCTCATTGTCACAGGTCGGCTAGAACTATGAGGTGAGTGTAAATTACTCATCTCATAGTTCTCCTTTAATTGAAAATAAAAAGTATTTTATTGGAAAAAAAAAATGGCTCAACCGACGTGATCCATTGTCAATCACGGCGTCTAGCGTTGTCCACGACGACGACGAAATATGAAATAAAACAATAAAAAATAAATAGAAATAATAAGTTTTTAAAAACTTAAAAACTCCGCTACCTGTGGTCAGGTGCAAGTCTTTAACCAATTAGAGCTTTAGAGGGCTCTTTTCAGTATGGGACGTTGCACGGTCGAACAGACCGCGAACATCCCATAAGGTTCGGCGTTAGGCCAATGCTCAAAAAGCCGATGTTCGAATCGAACCGGCGGACCATCCCTACTCAGGAGCCCCGTAGCCAATGCTCCTTTAAAATGACAGCTGCCTCCTAACTTTTGAGTTTTCTTCTAGTCTAGTTTTGGAGATGGAAAAGTATCTGTACTTGTACTTGTTACCTGAACATCCCTACCTACTGCACAACAGTAGTCAAAATACAGGGTTATTCAAAAAGAATGAACCGACTTCTTTACGCAATATTTTATTAAAGGAGAACTATGAGATGAGTGATCTCCACTCACCTCATAGTTCTAGCCGACCTGTGACAATGAGACTGTCACAGGTCGGCTCAGTAGATCGGGAGGTGAGCGAACACATACCAGGTTCGCTCACCTCTCGATCCTGTCACGGCTCTCTGCCGTGACAGGGGGAGGGCTGGATTCCCCTCTCCGATCTGCCAGCGCTGACTGGCGGAACGGACGGGGGAGGGAGGGGGTACAGCTGGCTCTGCCTCTAAATAGGCAGAGCCAGCTGTTACTCACGCAGCTGGGCGGTTCCCGTCATCTACGTCGGGATCCGCTCCGGCTGCGGCGTCTCAGTATACCGCGAGCTGTAGCTCGCGGTATACTGAGCTTAGGGTAACGGGAGGACGCTAGTTTGTGTCCTCCCGTTACCCTAAGGAGAACTATGGGGAAAAACACTGACCCAATAGTTCTAGTTTAAGGAAAAGTAATACAAAACTCCAGCCAAGTCACAAGTATTATACTCACAATCAACTTTTATTTCCTGTCTTACAAGTGTTCAATGTGACCACCATCTGCAGCACGGGCAACATCAATGCGATAAGAGAATTCCTCCCAGGTGCGTATCAGCATATCACGATCCACTGAGTTGATCGCTGTTGTTATGTGTTTTACGGTTATCGCGGTTAGTTGAGTAGCGGTGGAACATAAACGCGATCTTTTACATATCCCCACAAGAAAAAATCACACACGGTCAGGTCTGGGGATCTCGCAGGCCAAGCACAAAGAGCAAGGTAATTTGCCCCCTTCCATCGCTGGAGCACTTTTTCATTTAAAAAAGCTCGAACCATTAGGTGCCAATTGGACGGTGCTCCATCTTGTTGAAAAATTAAGTCATGCGAATCTGCTTGCAGTGAAGTGAACAGCACGTGTTGGAGCATATCGAGATAGGTTTGTCCTGTAACGGTGTTTCCTCCAAAAAAAAAGGGACCATAAACCTCATTCCATGACGATGCTTGAGAACAGAAGCAATGCGTCATGATATCGGTTCATTCTTTTTGAATAACCCTGGGAGGAATTCTCTTATCGCATTGATGTTGCCCGTGCTGCAGATGGTGGTCACATTGAACACTTGTAAGACAGGAAATAAAAGTTGATTGTGAGTATAATACTTGTGACTTGGCTGGAGTTTTGTATTACTTTTCCTTAATAAAATATTGCGTAAAGAAATCGGTTCATTCTTTTTGAATAACCCTGTATATTCTTGTGTTAGTTTGACTTTAGTGAACTGTGTTTAACTGCTGTCTAGTACCCCGCCATGCCATTAGCACTTTGCACTATTTATGAATGAGCCCGACTGTGTGCTTAAATGAACAATGAACAACATCACAGTTGCCAGTGTTTAAAAGAAAATAAATATTTAACAAAATACCTTTTAGATCGTAGCACAGTTTCTGTTCTGTTGATAGTTTCAGAAGTTAAGAAAATGATATATCCATCAGACTGTCCACAAACTTGCCAAGTGACATTTACTGAATCTGTAGTTACAGTGAAGCTGATATTGCCAGCTATGCTTGGAGCTTGGTGAAGATAAAGAGAAGAGAAAATGAAAACATGAACATATTTTTTACTATATAGAAAACAAGATCTTCTGAGGTGAAGGTAACATTTCAAACATTGGTTTCCAACAAGGTCAACACCTGTCACAGCATTATGAGGAAATGGATACAATGTCACTAACAGATATATAAAAATCTTAAAGGAACATTCAACAAGAACATGGCAAGTTTATGCCATGGCAGTTCTCAGCATGAAAGTACCAGACAATTAACATGCATTCACATCTTCGATGAAAGTCCAGATTTCAAGACCTGACACTTGCATCTATGATTTCTTTTTTGTCTATTTGACAAAAAATAGTGAATTATAGTAAAGTCACTTTTGTAAAATGTACTGCCAGGTAAGCTTTTATGATAGAAGAGACTGTGTGCCTCTTCTGTCACTGATGTTTCACTTTTTCAAGAGGCTGAAGAATCTGATCCTGGAAGAAGACCAAGAAAAGATGGGTGCACCGGCAAGGTAGGGGATATTGACATTGCAGCAATAGAGACTATCAGTTTGGTAGGCAAGTCAGCCATAATATGCTGTGCATCCCAGCACATGACTCAATGCTACATGACTCAATCCTACTGAAGGCCCATTTTTTTTTATATGGTGGGTGGTTTACTTCCATTTTAAGCTAAATGTATAACTGCCAACCCTACATTGTCAATAGGAATGTCATTTCCTGCACATGGTTCTCATGTACAGTAAATCATAGTAGTGCATAATGTACCCACTGCGGTGATCTGTGATGATAGATGAGTGTCACAGGAAGATGTGGCATCAAAATTGTTCACCATTATAGATATTTTTTTCTGATGTTCACATAAGTTCAGCTCTACCTCAGCTACCCTTGACAGCTACCCATGCTTTTTTACCCGCTTTTCAGCTATCAACTGTGCTTTGGAAAAGGGCAATTCATAATGGTATTGGCAATGGCAAATAAGTACAGCTTGACAGTTTACGCTTCTGTTTCAATGGAAGAAGAATGGTGTGCATTAATATGCCAGGAAACCGACAGCACTTTGTAACATCTGAGCAGTCTATGACAGTTGTTGACTCTCAGTAAAACATTCTCATTATTAATGAAAGGTTCCCATGGTAGTACAATATCACTAGGTCCTAATTGTTTCTCTCTCTGCACAGTTTTTGCTGTTTGAATAATTTACTGTGTACTTACTGTTCACCAACAATGGGTCCAAATACCTGAAACAGCCCTGCTAGCAAAGTAGGTCTCTAGCTTGCTCTAATATTTTGGTTGTAGGTATTAGGTTTGCTCACAAAAAGTGTGCAAACTCTAAGGGGTCTATTCACGAAGCTGCCGAGGGCAGCCGAGTGAATGACCAATCTGAAGTGAAGTGAGCCGAACACTGTTCGGCTATTCACTTCAGGCTGGTACGGCTAATTTCAGCCATACATCACTTATTCTGGCACGAGCAATTTCAGAATAAAAATAAAAAAAGAAAAATTCCCATTGAAAAGCATTGGGACATTACTATTGGCTATTTCAATTTGCAATAGCCAATAGTAAACTAGCATTGTACCCGCCCTCTGCTGATGGACCTGATGGGGAACTGCAGCAGAGGGCGGGTACAATGCTAGTTTACTATTGGCTATTGCAAATTGAAATAGCCAATAGTAATGTCCCAATGCTTTTCAATGG